AAAAAAAAAAAAAAAAAAAAAGGTAATATGACAGAGTGAGAGTCCTAATAATAGCTCCTTAATATTCTGGAATGAGAAAATAAGTAGAACAAGGAGCAGCACATATTTTAAAAAACATATTAAAAACAAAAAAATCATAGACTAAAAAAGCACACAACACATTCCACATAGAAAAATATCTAAAAAGGCACACTCAGACACATTGAGTATACTTGAACAACACTAAGAGAGCAAGAAAGAGAGAAGTGGAGGGCCTTGCCAAGATATTTGTAGATTGAAAAACATCCAAACACACACACACACACACATGCATGCGCTCACACATGCAAGAACACACACACACACACACACACACACTCTCCCTCTCTCTCTCTCTTTCTCTCTCTCTGAAGGCATCAACTCCAGCAGGCACATACTAAGAAAATCTAAACAATGAATTCATTGGAGGAAAGGAAGAAAGAAGGCTCCAGGAAAAACATGTAAAAATAGTGGAAAAAGGTAAAATTTTTAAAAATGTAAAAATTACAGTAATAATAGTGTCTAATCCATGGTGTTATAAAAAAGGAGATTTAAAATAGTGACTGGAAATGGCTTGTAGTGTCCAGTAGGGGATGATAGATGCTCAGACTTTATAAAGCAGGTGAATTAATCAGAGTAAGGGTGGAATCAATTTTAGACTTTTAAAATTTAGATAATAGAGAAAAATTCTTCAATTTATTAGGGGAAAAATAAGAGGAATAAGGAAAAAGATAAAAAGGGAAGAGGAAAAATGGCAGATCAAGTAAGATGGGAGAAAGTATAAAAATGAATGCACATGTATAATTGATCATTATTACTGCAGACAGAGTAAACCAGTGGTCAGAATTTTTCTTTTTCTGTAAAGAAACAAGGAGTAGGTATTTTCAGTTTTTCAGTTTCTGTCACAATTACTCACCTCTGCCATTGCAGCAAGAAGGCATCCATGGACAATGTACAAATAAACAGCTGTCTTCCAATAAAATCTTGTTTATTAAACTAAGCAGTAAGCTGGATTTGAACAATAGGTCATGGTTTACTGACTCCTGTTCTTATTTAGAAAACGCAGGATTTAAGATTGGGAACAATGCAAGGGTATCCTCTTTTACCATTAATTTTTATATTTTTTTCTTTTTTCTTTTTTACTTAAGTAGCTACCTAATTACCACTAATATTTAATTTCCTACTGAAAGTCCTAGCTAGTGCAATATAAGAAAACAAGGAAATAAAAGGTATGCAGATTGTGAAAGAAGAAATAAAACTTTGTTCATAAATGACAGGATTCATTCCTTCTTATTGCAGTTAGTATTCTACGGTATAGATGTACAAGTTTGATTAACCATTCAGTTGGTGAAGTAAATTTGAGTCGTTTCCAATGTTGACTATTACAAATAAAGCTGCTATGACCATAACTGTGCAAGTTTTTGCATGTATATAAGTTTTTGTTTCTCTGGGATAAATACCTAAGTGTAAATTCCTGGGCCATATGGTAAATAACTGTTAATTCTGTAAGATCTACCTGTCAATTTTTTTTTTTCTGTAGAGGCTGTGCCATTTAACTTTTTCACCAGCAATCCATGAGAGATCCAATTGCTCTACATCCTCATTAGCCTTTGATATTATTGCTACTTTAAAAATGTTTTAGTTGTTTTGAAAGATGTGTAGTGACATCTCATTATGGTCTTAATTCTCTTAATGAATAAAGATGCTAGATATCTTATTGTATGCTTATTTGCCATCAGTATATCCTCTTTGTTGAAATATCTTTTGACCATTTTCTAATTGAATTGGTTGTTTTATTGCTCTTGGTTTTTGAGAGGCCTTTATACATTCTAGATACAAGTCAATTTTCAAATATGCGGCCTGCAAATATTTTCTCCTATTTGTAGCTTGTTCTTTTCACCCTTTTTTTTTTTTTTTTTTTTTTT